CAGGTCTGGATCTACGAAGTTAGATTCCTCCAGGTGGGTGTTGTTTGGTTCTGGCTGTGTGCTCCACTTCTTTCTGTCGCAGGCTTAGAGTTGAACCCTTTGTGTCTCTCTGGGAAGATGTTCTGCTCCTGAATCAGCTGGGTGAGTCTTGCCTCTAGCCTCTTTGCAGGGAGTTCTGCTGAAGGGTTCCCTGCTGGGCCTGCGCTCTGGGTCGAATGAGGATCCGTGGGCTGGGTCGTCTCACTCACTCACCAGGCCTGCGCTCTGGGTCTGTTCAGGATCCCACAGGCCCTGGGTCATCTCACTCACTCACCGGGCCTGCACTCTGGGTCTATTCAGGATCCCTCGGCCTGGGTCGTCTCACTCACTAGCCGGGCCTGCACTCTGGGTCTCAGCAATTTCTTTATGACGTTGAAATCTGTATATAAAAAGAGAAGATAAGCAATCACATTCCTTATACTGTCTTTTTTTTTTCCCCTGTAGAACTGGGGATTCAACTCAGGGCCTTGCACTTGCCAGGCAAGTGCTTCTTCTACTGAACTACTTCCCTGGCCCTTCTCTTTTGGTTTTGTTTTGGGTAAGTACTCAGCATTAACTGAAAACTATCTAAACTTTTTATTGCTTTTGAGATATAATTCACACCTCATAATAACCAGCCATTTATCATGTACAAAAAATGATACTATTTTATGTTCATTGTTCCATAACCACAACCAAAATCTCATTTTCAAACATTTTCATCATTCCCAGAAGAAACTGAAGACGTACTTCACTCAGAGATCTCTTGCTTCCCACGTACAGAGCCCTGGGTTTACTTTCCATCACAAAGAAAAGCACATTTTTAAAAAAACTGTAATCATCAGTAATTGCTCTATTGTCTTATCAACCAACACAAGGCAACCACTAATCTCCTTTTTTATCCCCATGGATTTGCCCTCTCTGGGCATTTCATATACATCGAGTGGTCTTTTTCAGTCCTATCACAGTATATATCAGTGCTTCACTCCCTTTCATTTCCAAATAACACTGCATTGTCTGGTTCTTGGTGTACCCTATTTATCAGCTCATGGATATTTAGATTGTTTCCACGTTGGGACTACTAGGAATAATGCTGTTGACAACTACCTATTTTATTAAAAATCACTAATACAAGGGCTGGCCAAATAGCTCAGCAGATGAAAGTGCCTGCTTAGGTAGGTGCTGGGGCCAGTGTTTGATAACCAGCATGCTGTACCATGCCTCGCCATGTCATGTCATATCATGCTGTGCCCAGCCATGCCGTGCCAGGTAGCAATTGCATCTAGGCAAGGTGATCCATTCCTATAATCCCAGCACTTGGGAGGCTATAAACAGGAGGATCACTACAAATCCAATCTACATATTGAGACCCTGTATATCCTATACTAAGTACATTTTAAAAACTTTTTAGATCACTAATACAGATGTAGTTGTTGGGAAAACTTAGCATCCAATTTGATAGATCAGATAAGTATAAAATAAATAGTAATTAGAAAGAGTAATTTGAAAAATGTAAAATAAGAAATTTTTATATTAGTAGTATTTATATAACAGTACTTACAATATATTGGATAAAATAAAAATAGTATTAATATGTTTCACTGAGCCTGGGATACAGCTCAGTAGCTTAAGTGCCTTCCTGGCACATGCAAAGTCCCAAGTTCAATCCCTTGTACAAGAAAAAAAAAAGTTTCAAATTTTTCTTTGTCTTTTTGCCCTGAAACCTCAGGTATACTCCAGGGACTAAATAAGATACATGCATGCTCCACAGCTATGCTTCTCCTCCATGCTTCTTCTTCCTACACTTAAACTGGCTATAGAAAGATTTTACAGTGCATATGTTGTTCACATTCTGTGTCTATTGGACAGGACTGATCCATGGACCAATATGTAATTCCACCATTGAAAAATTTCATCTTTTCTAGTTTCCTACAGATTTCTATTTCAATATGCTAAATATCCAGAGGGAAACAAGTTTCCTAGGACTGAGGGAACCTGAGGTGAGGAGGACCTTTTAGCAATGATCAACCAGCCTGAAGAAAGTCGGTAAAGTCTTCCCTCCCTCACTTGTAGGAGTTCTGAGAGGCTCCAGCACTCTCTGGTCAGCCTTTCTTTATTCAACTTCTCTCTTCTCTGGTGCTGGTGATCTCTTAAGCCAGTATAACCAGAAGACAGTGTCTAGGTCAGGAGTCTTCTACGTGGGCCTTCCCCTTCTCCATTTCTCTGTACTGCACTATCTCCCAAAGTTGGTGCCTGGGCTACTGCTATCACCACAGAACATTTCCATGCAATGGAATGGAGAGCTGCTCCCCTCAGCCTCAGCCATTTGCTGACTCTGGTGTGAAGGAAAAGCTCCCCTTCACCCATGGAGGTGTAGACCCACACCAACATGGATGATTTCCTTCAACTGTAAGAACAGCTTTGCCTCCAATCCGTACTATAGGTCACCAGAACAATGTTTTTTACATGAAAAATATCTCACTCCTGCAAGGCCCTGTGACCTTGTACATGAGAAGTATGGTCCCCAGAAATGGTGTATAAGACCCTGCAAACAGGGTCTTTTTCCCACTTATATTCTTACATTCTGATACAATTTGTAACCAGGACAGTAGACTCACTGAAGATTGGACACCTCATGCCAGGCCTGCAGAACACTCAAAAGACCTTACTCATCACAAATGATTACATAACTCTGAGTAAGGAACACACCCAATGCCCAGAGGGACAGGTCTGTATGTGACAGGTCCAGGATAGGGATGATATTGGCATTGGGTTGTCTATGTTCCTTTCAGCAACAAAGAGGGCCAAACCATTAGTATATTGGGATCTTACTGACCTCCTCTGGTCCTATAAAAGGTTTTTGAAGACCACTGTTCTCACTATTTCTGCAAATGTCTTTTCATCAACCCATTTTCCTTTTCTTCTATGACTGTAACCATTTTCCCTATGTAAAAAAAAAAAAAAAAAGGCCTGGGTTTGAATGTGAGGTGGAGCAGCGGCAGGAGAGGGTAATGCTTGTGACTGCATGTGGCTAGGATTCCCTCTTCTGTTCCTGTATCCCCTCAAGAAGTGTATAACAATGGAGCTCAGTGATGCAAATTTACAAACATTAACAGAATATTTGAAAAAGACCCTTGATCCTGATCCTGCCATCAGACGTCCAGCTGAAAAATTTCTTGAATCTGTAGAAGGAAATCAGAATTATCCACTGTTGCTTTTAACATTACTAGAGAAGTCCCAAAATAATGTCATCCAAGTATGTGCTTCAGTAACATTCAAGAACTATATTAAAAGAAACTAGAGGATTGTTGAAGATGAACCAAACAAAATTTGTGAAGCTGATTGAGTAGCCATTAAAGCCAATATAGTGCATTTGATGCTTAGTAGCCCAGAGCAAATTCAGAAGCAGTTGAGAGATGCTATTAGCATTATTGGCAGAGAAGATTTCCCTCAGAAATGGCCTGACTTATTGACAGAAATGGTGAATCGCTTTCAGAGTGGGGATTTCCATGTTATTAATGGAGTCCTTCATACAGCACATTCATTATTTAAAAGATATCATCACGAGTTTAACTCAAATGACTTATGGACAGAAATCACACTTGTTCTGGATGCCTTTGCTTTGCCTTTGACAAATCTATTTAAGGCTACCATTGAACTGTGTAGTACCCATGCGAATGATGCTTCTGCCCTGAGGATTCTTTACTCTTCCTTGATTCTGATCTCAAAATTGTTCTATAGTTTAAACTTTCAGGATCTCCCTGAGTTTTTTGAAGATAATATGGAAACTTGGATGAATAATTTTCATACCCTTTTGACATTAGATAATAAGCTTCTACAAACTGATGATGAAGAGGAAGCAGGCTTATTGGAGCTCTTAAAATCCCAGATTTGTGATAATGCTGCACTTGAGCATTTGTGATATGCTCAAAAGTATGATGAAGAATTTCAGCGGTACCTGCCTCATTTTGTCACAGCCATATGGAATTTATTAGTTACAACAGGTCAAGAGGTTAAATATGATTTGTTGGTAAGTAATGCAATTCAATTTCTGGCTTCAGTTTGTGAGAGACCACACTATAAGAATCTGTTTGAGGAC